CACTACTACCTTACTTATATATATATATATATATATATATATATATATAGGGGAATGATTTCAGGGGCATGATTTCATGCAACGGTTGTATAGTAGTATAATGCAACTGTCTTCAAAATTAATGAAGGCTAATCCATTTGATGTAATCAGATATGGGGTTGGAGCAAATTTTTTTACCTCAAATTTTGTAAATGGTCTTATCAAATTCAATGAACAATTTTGAAACAAAAGTTCAACTATGAGTTCGCGATGTTTAGCCTTTAATTGATCTTGACTACTGTCGATGACCTTCTTTAAGTCAATAAAACTCTTGATTTTATGAAATTGTTTTTATTTCTTTTCTTTTTTTGACCAATATTAAAATAAAAAAATTACAGTCAAGAAATTAGAAACCACAATCACTATCACCATCGAGAGTAAGAACGCCCCTTCTTTGCCAGAGAATCAGCCACCTCATTTGACTCTATGTACACAAGGAGATAGTCATAGACCCAGAGAAGCAGCCGCCTCATTTGACTCAAATGTACACATGATGAAAGGAGATAGTCATTAACCCCGTCAACTGTAAAACTTCATAGCCAAACTGATGTCAGGGAAATTTTAGTTCTTCTTTACACCATCTGATAACATCCAGCAAAGTCGTCTTCCATATCGCAAGAAATCCCCACTTTCTCCCAATAAAGAGCTTCAAACCTCGGAGAAGAGCTGAAACTTTTCCTGTTTCTTCTAACTCTTTTACCTCATACGCCTATGTGTCCAAATAATTGAGTGAAATGATCTATTCAAAGCGAAAAACTTAAGTCCTCTTTAAAATGAATTCTCTACCATGCTTTTTAATAAACCAATGGAAAGCCTGAAAAGTCCGTGATGAAGTGGTGTCATTTTCTTCCCCAGAACTTTTATATGATAGAAGAAGGGAGAATGGACGCGAGGGTACACATTTGAAGGTGACCTTTTACGTCCTTATTCCATGTGAATGACCCTTTCCCTAGAGGACCCATCTACAAACTTGAAGTCAAGTTCACATGTATTTTGGAAATGGGGTTGAGTCGGCTCTCATTTCCACCGACGTATTCGAAAACAGTTAATTATTTCTAAAAAAAAAAGGTAGGGCCCTGCATTCTCAACTAATCTACCAAAAAAAAAGTTCACATGTATTGTTCTCTTTCACTCTCATTCCAGTGTGGTGTGAAACTTGTCTTCTTATTCTTTTTTTTTTTTCTTTTTTTTCAGATATCACATTATTAATTTTCCTATTTTAACAAAGAAAACCATAATGTTTTTGAAGTATTTACAGTTAATCAATTTAGTGTATTATTTTTCTAGGAAAAAATTTGCTCCGCTTATTGGTCTACCTTCTTACACCAAAAAGCACTTTTTTTACCCAAAATTTTGCACACACATTTCCTTCATTTGACAAGGCCTAAAAACAAAATTATGAAAGATCAACTTGTTAAATGTTTTTTTCAAAAAACTTGACGGGTGCATGCCATCTATTTCATGTGTCGCTGGATCCATCTTTTTAGGGACTCAAAATTTTTGTTCTTTTTATATTAGGATACGGTTTTTATGAGTCCAATTAAAAACACCTTTTAAAAGTGATGGATTTTCGGACCTAATTTTTAAGGATATATAATCTCTAACTTGGAGATCATGAATACGAAAAAATAAATAAAGTTTGAAAATAAAAAATAATCATTCTATTAAAAAAACACTTGGACCGTTAATTTCAATTATTTTTTTTGGTGGACTACCTATTTACATCCATCTTTAATGTAGATACGGTATACCTTGAAGACTGCCAATGTTGAAATGCGGTCCACTTTTTTTCTCTCCTCAAATTCTTAAAATGGCCCACTTTTTTTCTCTCCTCAAATTCTTAAAATGGCCCACTTTTTTTCTCTCCTAAGAGCAAGCAATATATTTTTTTGGGTAAGTCAGTGGCAAGACAGCCCCTACCTTTTTTTTTTTTTTTGGGTCTTTTTTTTTTTTTTTTTGCTTTTTTAAGTCAACGGATATACAAGTCGTTATGCAGCCCTGGATGCATACTGTATTGCAGTGTTCACAGGATAAGTGCATTATTTATAGGAAGATAATTTATATACGTGTTGATCTAGAAGTAAAGAGCACCTTAAAAATCAGATGTAAAAGGTGCTTTAAAAATAGTGTATTTTGTAATAGATTATCGGACTGTCTATTTTGAATATTTCAATATTTACAGATCTAATCAATTTGGGCCACTTTTTAAAGCTTTAGATTTTATAATGAGGGGTGGAAATAAATTTTCAAATCATGATACTGGACTTGCATCTTCAAACAAAGCTCAAAATTACATCTTATTTTTGGACACCTTTTACATACCACACTCTTATTTTTCAAGTTAGAAGAGTGCTTTTTTTGGTCACTGGGTTTATTTTCTTAGTAATGTTATTGGTAACATTATTTTAGTTTAATAATTTTATTGGTGACATTATTTTTATTTATTATTTTAGTATTGAGAAAATATGCAATATATATTGCATGTATAATATATGGTCCACAAGGGAACTATTTACCTTCCTCATCAGAGTGCAGGGAATATTTGCGGGCCATGTGCCATGTGCCATGTGCTAGCTAAGGTGTTAATTTTTTTCAGGCAGGTATAGGGACTAAGATGTATACGAATCTAGAATTAGGTGGATTACTTTGTTAGAGGGACTATGAATAATTATATACTCTCTCCCCCTCTCTTGACCTCTCTCTCCACTGTGTAATAACTATATACTTTCTCCCTCTCTCTTGATCTCTGCACTTTGTTAGAGGGACTATGAAATAACTTTATACTCTCTCTCTCTCGCGGTGACAGAGCTCAAGTAAATGAGTTAGCGTAACTAGTGAGCGTTTCATCCAGTGTTTGGAAGTGATTTAATCGGCTAAAGTGTTGAAAAAATAAAAAATATACCAAAAAAAATCTACTGAAATATGGAAAGTATATAAATAATGATGGAAACAAAACACATTCAAATGAAGTTGAAAATTAATGAAAAATAGATTTTAATGAATCGATTTTTGAATTTCAGTGATCATTAATGACAAAAACAATTTTTAAATATTACCATAATGTAAAGAATATTAAAAAATACATTACAAATTAAATTCCTTATTTTTGAAAATTTATATACAGTTTTTTTTTATTTTTTCTTTTAAATACTGGTTGATCACGAAAGCCACCCAAAACTGGCCAGTTCTGATCCCACTGGGCAGTTAGCAGTTAGATCGCCCGGTTTTTCTAACAATGGTTTCACTGGAGGTCCATGGCTTGGAGCACTTTCCACCCCAAACAAATCCATAAAAATTTTTTGTTTATTAAAGTATATGGTTCATTGTCCTTGTGGTAACAAAACATCTTTTTACTCCACATAACTTATCTTCATTATCATCATTAGAACCTTATGCCGACTCTTTAGGGTTTGGCTACATGAATCTTATCCTTTGCTCTATTAAGAGTTACCCTCAATCAGGATTGATGAAAGGATGTAGCAAAGTTTTATGTTGGTTGTCTTACCCAACACAACTCTCCTCCTTTATCTGGGCTTGGACCGGCTATGGTAGAGTTATATAGTTGAATTTTATTGACCTTGTCAAAAATATATATAATGTGGGCAAAATAAAACGAAATCATTTATAAAATCATTAAAAAGTTCAAATGATCCTAATTAATATGTGCAAGGTTACTTCTTAGTTTCATTTCATTCATAAATCTCCTTAAAAAATATTAAAAAAATTTCAAATTGCCCTTGTTCAAGATTATGAAGGATGAACAATCCAAAATATTTCAGTAATTTGACCCCTGTAATTATTCAAGATTAGTAAGAAGAAACAACTAGGGATATTTTTGTTATTTGCCACCCAAATGCCTTGCATGTATAGAATGACATTCCCCTAATTTTTCCTCATTCGAAATCCTTAACAATGTTTTCCTTATTTGTAACCCCGAACAGACATGAGTGTTTTTTTGTCATTTAATAGAGCCTCTTGGGTTCAAATTACAGAAATACCCCTAATTCTTCATCATTCCCAACCCCAAATTAGGGCAATTTTGAAAATTTTCAAGTTTTTTTCTAAGTATATATTAGAATGAAATAAAAATGAAAAATAACTCTCAAATATTAATTAGGATCATTTGACCCATTTAATGATTCTGTAATGGATTTCAACTTTATTTTCCCATTAAACTAAAATTGTAGAGTCCACTTAAATCATCATAGAAGCATTTTTCAAAAAAACCAAAAAAAAAAAAAAAAACCCTAATTTACGCCATAAAAAAATTGGATACTTTGTCGAGTATCTACGGTGCGAAGTTTTTCAACCAATACATTCGGAGACTAACTTGACTAGGTCCATACTTAAAATGAGAGTCTTAAAAGATATTTATGGTTCAAATATATATTTTATCGCAGGTGTATGTAATTTTTTATTTATTCTTTGTTCCTATTGAGCAAGATAACCTAGGAAGATGTATTCAAATATAGGATTGGGTGAAATACCATCACATACGGAATATGAATAACTACACACACAATGTGGGGACATACGGAATATGAAATAACTACACACTCTGTGTGTGGGTCAGGGAGCTCAAATCAAGTAGTGTACCTGGTCAATTTTTTTTGTCTTTTTGTTTTTTTGGGTAATTCAATAGGGATAACGAGCCCCTACTAGTATTATGAAATCGTTAATAGTTTTTTAATGCGTTAGGTGAGAATGGAAACCTAAACCTTAGCTAGGCCACACAAGTGGCGCTACCACCACAACCCCAACCCCAACCCCAACCCCATTCTCTTAACTGAGCACTTTCCACCCCAAATGGATCCATAGATTTTTTTTGTTTATTTTGGGCCTGCAAGTCCATAGAAACATATAAAATTACAAAGTATTATACAAGGAAAGCAAAACAATGAAAAATGTAGGAAACAACATAACCAATTAGCCTCACAATCTTCTAAGACCTAAATAACCAAAAAGCTTGTGATTTGGAATCAAATTTGTGATCTCGAATCAAATGGCTAAGTTTAAGGTTTTTCTTCTGGGAATTGTGGCATGAATTTTAAATGGCTTTTGGGTGCCGCAAGACATACAAGGCACCCACCATGTCTGTCGACATGAAACGTTGAGATGAACCATTACTTTTAAAAACAAGAGGTGGAGATTAAACATACAAGATGAATGTCTATGACTGGAAATTACATAATCTCTGTTACTTCTGAATCCTCCAGGAAAATCATTGTGTATTGATTCATAAAGAATATACAGAGTCCCCTATACATATAGGGCTAATCAGTTATTGATAATAATGAACTAATCTAGTCTTATCAAGATAGTGTTAATTAGTTATTGATAATAATGAACTAATTTAGGTTTATCAAGAGGGATATCTACATCAAATACAAGATAAACTTAAAATTTAAACTATCATCAATTATCTATATCTCCTCGACTATCTCTATCTCTACACTCCCCTTTAAATGAGGTTGGGTGAACATCATCAGTTTGTCAACGAGATAGTCATGACGAGCATGAGTCATTGCCTTGGTAAAGATATCTGCAAGTTGTTGTTGGGTGGTAATATATGGGAGTGTAACTTCTCCGGCCAGAAACTTGTCATAAATGAAATGACAATCAACTTCTATATGCTTTATACGGTCATGAAACACTGGATTTGACGCAATATGTATGGCGCTCATATTATCAGCATACAATGGTGTAGGAGTTCGATGAATAATATTGAGGTCCTGTAAAAGGACTCTCAACCAAGTAATTTCACTACAAGCTGAGGACACTGCTCGGTATTCGGATTTTACAGAAGATTTAGACACAGTTTGTTGTTTCTTACATTTCCATGAGATGAGAGAATCTCCAACAAAAATACACCACCCAGTGGTCGAGCGTCTAACATCGGGGCATCCTGCCCAATCCGCATCGGCATAGGCTCGTAATTGGATAGAAGAGTTAGAAGAGAATAATAGACCTCTATGATATGTACCTCGTAGATAATGAATAATACGATGGACAACAGAGAGGTGGATGCGACGATGATCAGCAACAAATTGGCTAACGACCTAAACTGCATGAGAAATATCTAAATGAGTCATAGTGAGATAAAGTAGACTCCTAACCAGTTGTCTATAAAGAGTAGGATCTGGAAGTTTGTCGCCATTATTCTTTCTATATTTTACATTCACCTCCATTGCTGTATCCACTCGTTTTTCATCAGATAAGTTGGCCAGTTTGTTCAAGTCTTTGGTGTACTTCTTCTGGTTAACTATGTATCTATTAGGGGAATAATGAATGTCCAGCCCAAGAAAATAAGTTAACGAACCCAAATCTTTCATTTTGAATGATTGACTGAGAAGCTCTTTCAAATCCAAGTTGTCTCTTGTGATGATAATATCATCAACATATAGGAGAAGAATTGTTATTCCTGAAGAACAATAATGAGTAAATAGCGAATAGTCATGAGCACTTTGTTTCAACTCAGCATACAGAACGACCTGTCGAAATCATTCAAACCAAGCTCTAGGAGCTTCTTTTAAACCATACAATGATTTTTTCAAATGATATACCATAGATTTATCATTGCAATAACTAGGAAGAGGTCGCATATATACTGTCTCTTTCAAATGTCTAAGGAGAAATGTATTTTTCACATCCATTTGAGATATAATCCACTGATAAATAGTGGAGAGGGCAATTACGGTTCGTACAGTAGTCATTCTAGCAACAGGAGCAAACGTTTCATCATAGTCTATGCCATACGCCTGTTTGTAACCTTGAGCAACTAATCGTGCTTTATATCGCTCGATCCTTCCATCAGATTTAAACTTCACAGAAAAGACCCATTTATTGCCAATAATAAATGTATGACGAGGACACGGAACAAAATCCCAAGTATCGTTTTTCAACAAGACACTAATTTCTGCATCCATGGCCTCGTTCCAACAAGGCATAGTCAAGGCTTGTTGGTAGGAGGGAGGAATATCCATCGAATCTAAATGGGCAAATAATTATCTAAGGAGTAAATGGAGATCTAGGTCTTGAAAAGGAACCTCAATCATATCAAGGGAAGTAAACAAAGCTCTAGGCTGTAGTGAAAAGTCAAAATTATCAAGGGAGAAACCATATCGATTAGGCGCGTGAGGTACAAGTGAAGAACGTCGTAACTGAGTAGAGCTATCAATAAGAGTAAGAAAAGAATCACTTACAAGTACGGTGGAGGTTTGACCATGCTCTAGTTGGTGAGATGGAGTGTGCATGGATTGGTGTTGTTGGCCTTGCTGTTGAGGCACTAAAAGATGTGATGGTTTATCAATGGAAAAATCTGAAAAGAAAGGAGTAGATGACCCTGATGATTTTACAATTGAAGAGTAATAAAAGATGTTTTCCAAAAAGACAATATTGTGCGAAATACGTATACGACGAGCTGTTGGATCATAACATAGAAATCCCTTTTGGTCGGGACAATAACCCATAAAAACACAAGCGACTGCTTGAATAGAAAATTTTGTTCATTCATGCGGTGGAAGATGAACGAAACATACACACCCAAAAACATGCAAGAGTGAATAATCAAGATGAACATGACGTAAGAAATAATATGGAGATTGTTTATGCAAAACCAATGATGGGAGGCGATTTATGAGATAAACAGCTGTTGATGCAGCTTCAATCTAAAAACTGTGAGGAATACGAGAGTCATGCATAAGGGTCCTTACAACTTCTAAGATATGACGGTTTTTCCTTTCAACTATGTTATTCTGTTGTGGAGTATATGGACAAGTTTTCTGTGATTCTATACCCTGTATTTTCAAAAAGTCTTAAAAATCATTTGATAAATATCCAAGTATAGTATGTACAATCATCAATGAACAAAACAAAATATTTATATCCCATTCTAGATAGAGTTGGAGCAGGACCCCACACATCACGATGAATGAGATGGAAATGTGCAGTTGGTTCACTATTCGAGTCGGAAAAGGCAAACCAATGCTTTTATTCAAAGAACAACTAATACAAGATTTATTGATAGAATTCAAATCAAGTGCTTTATTTGGCAATGAACCAGAACGAAACAAAGTATCTAATTTATTTGCATTCGGATGACCAAGTCTCTGATGCCACATATGCCATTGTTTATTAGAAACAGAAAATCAGAATTCGATAGAGAAACGAAAGAAGTATCATGGTTTGGTTTCTCAAACTCCAAGGCAAACAAACGACCAATTCTACGTCCCTTCCCTGTCACTCTCCCAATGCGTTAGTCATGTATTAGACAACCATCACGAGAAAATTGAACATTGTAACCATCATCAATTAGTTGGCCCACAGATATTAGATTAGCAGTTAATTTAGGAACGAAGAGGACACTACGTAAATGAAAAGGTGTACCACGGGAGATCGAAAGTGAAATATTATCAGTACTAATAATATTAAGTTCTCCCAATTAACGGTGAGAATTTGACTATTACCTTGGTATGGTTTAGTAGATGCTGGACTTGTGTGCACTCTAGTCATATGATTAGAGGCACCTGAGTCAATAAACCAAATGGCATTTATACTAGGGGATAGGTGAGAGTTCATAGCAGACAAGTCCATAGTGGAGAAAGCAGAAGCGATAGCCGTAGATACAGAGTTTTGTAATAACTATCGAATATTATCTGATGTCTGGGATATTGTCATACTTGGGTCATGAATAGTGCTGGATGGAGGGGTCTCTACTTTTAGTCCCTTGGAAGCATTATTCCATCTTGCTATGCTCTGTACAAAGGTCTTCATGTATTGAATGCCTGGTTGCCTCGCCTAAAACGATTTTGACATTCTGTGATAATATGCCCAACACGTTTACAATAAGTACAAAATTTTTTCTTCTTACACTGGGATACTATATGACCATATTCTTTACACTCATAACATTGCAGCAAATATGGATCCTTTTGTGATGGTGTTCCTTTAGCCCGTTGAGCTACAAGTACAGACTCTATATCATTCTTTCCCTCAATGGTGGCTTGGGTCGTGATTCTTGTTTCCTCACAAAGTAATTCACCTAGAATAGTTGCTATTTTTTTGCGATTCAAAATATTGGCTCGAACAATCTCATAGTTTGGGCGCAACTTCATCAAAAATTGCATCACCTTCCTGTCACCATTTATCTCCATTAAACTCTGAATGCAACAAGCACTAGTGATAACCTTCAAGTTTAGATATTCATATTATGTCCATAAGTTCATGAAACCAGCATAATATTCTTGAATGGTTTTCTCCCCTTGACGATAGGAAAACAACACATACTCTATTTGGAAGCATTTTGCAAGATTTGATTGCTGATAAACTTTTTTCAAATATTCCCACATTTCTTTCGCAGTATGGAAGCCTCTCATTGGCTTTCCAATAACCAAATCTACAGAGCCGAGGATCCATGATATAATTTTTGCATTGTTGATCTTCCATTATTGGGTATCTTTAGCATTAGGTGTACCCGGTTCAGGTTCAGTGCCATCAACATACCTCCCCAAACCTTTTCCTTCAACAAAAAATTGAGAATGGAACCGCCAATCGGGATAATATTTTCCATCAAGTTTTATTACCAATACATCTCCTTTTTCAGAAGCTATGTGTAAGTTGTATCAGAACTCACAGACCTGATTAAGAATTTAATATTATATCAAGATTTTTGATATAATATGATCCCTATGAACCACCTCTTTTATTAAAAAAAATGTAAAGAGATGAACAAGGAAGAGAGAGATTCACGGATAAGGAGATCCACCGAAGATGGTTTCTCTCTTCAAGAAGAAAACCTCGGCCAAATATGCTTTGAGAATAAGTAAGAGAGAGATGCAAGTTGCGACCAGAGGAATCGAAAGAGAGATAGCAGCCTTGCAATTAGAGGAGAAAAAACTTGTTGCGGAGAGTAAAAAGACAACAAAATCACAGAAATCTTGGCTCACCAACTTGTTAGGCTAAGGCAACAAATTGCTAATTTGCAAGGAAGTCGTGCACAAATCAAAGGTGTCGCAACCCACATACAGGCAATGTATGTCAATACCTCACTAGCTGCTGGAATGAAAGGTGCTAGTAAAGCAATGGCAGCAATGAATAAACAAATGGCACAAACCAGGTTCTTGATGAAATTGGTGTTGATATTGCTTCTTAGTTGGACTCAGAAAAGAGGGCACAAACAAGGTGTTATTCCTTGAAGCGACAATATGGAGATATTGCTTCAATGGTTTGATCTTTCTCTCTCTTCACAAGAATTTTCACATTTAATTAACATGACAAGGCAAACTCAGCA